TCTTAATCTCTTCTCAATTCTCTGCAATCTGAGTAATTTTGATTAGTTGATTGTTTGATTTTGCATTCTCTCATTCTCAAGTCTCAACTTTATTGAAGTTTCAACTTTCAACAAAAAGAATGATTGCTCAACCAGCTCAAGTATCTCAATTTGGGAGGCTTGGACGTTGAAAGGCTTCAACCGTTGAAATCAAGTTGGGATTTTGAACCGGTAATCTGGATAAGTCGAATTAGATTTTTATTTTTTAGAATTAAAAAAATGGCTGACTCTTCTAAAAATTGATTCCCCAACATGTTCACCATTGATGATATTCAATCGCATATGCGATTGATGTCAATGGAAATGGAACTTTCACCCCCGGTACTGATACTAGGGGAAAAAGGAGGGTCTCTAAGTTGAGTAGCCCTGTTTGGAAAATTTTCAAAGTAGAGGATATTGAGGGAAAGGGGAAAAAGGTAATTTGCCAAAAATGTAGGAAGGACTTTAGTTATTGTAGCAAGGGTGGTACGGGTCATTTGAGTAGACATCTGCTCACACATGAGAAGGAAGAAGATGAAGGGAGAGAAACAACTCAAACACAAATTGGAATGGGGAGTAGTTTTGGTACTTTTAAACATTCGTAAGAAAAATGAGACAAGAATTAGCTAAATATATTGTACATGCAGAACAACCATTTATATTAGTTGAAGATCCAAAGCTTGAAAAATGGTTGCGTAATTCTGTAAACCCATAATATAAAAAAGTTTCTAGGAATACTATTAGAATGGATGCTTTAAAAATTTTTTATTCATATAAACAAAATTTAATTTCTTTGTTAGCAAATATTAATTCTAAAGTTGCAATTACTTCGGTCCAAATGTAATATAAGTTATATTTGTGTTACCGGCCATTTCATTGATGAAAATTGGCTTTTGAATAAAAGAATTTTAAGTTTTACTAGGCTTGAATGTCCACATACTGGCCTAGCTATTGCTACAAGTATTTTAAATACTTTGCATGCTTATGGAATAGAAAACAAATTATTTCCTATTAGTTTTGATAATGCCAGCAATAACGATTTTGCAATAAATATTATAAAATCTCAATTAAGACCATGCTTAAATGGTAAATTATTTCATATTAGATCTGCATGTCACATCTTAAATTTATGTATTCAAGATGTCTTGAATATTATTTCTACTCATATTTCTAAAATTAGAAATTGTATTATGTTTATTAAAAGTTCAAGGGCAAGAAAATAAGAATTTAAATATTTATGTCAAAATTATGGTTGTAAAGCATAGGTGGAATTCTACCTATGCTATGTTAGAAAGCTGTATTTTTCATAAAAAAATTCTTACTGATTTTTATAATTCAAAAATGCCTAATGATATGATATTTGAGGAAGACGGGGAAATGGCTGTCTATATAAGAGATTTTTTAAAACATTTTTATGATGCAACAAATGAATTATCGGGAATTTATTATCCAACTAGTTGTAATTTACCTTATCAATTAATGGTAATTAGTGATTGTTTTRMAAAATATARAAATAATCCACAATTTCAATGTATTGTTGAAATAATGGAAAATAAATTAAAAAAAAAAATATTAGGAGAACATTTATTCCCTTTATTGTTTAGCTACAATATTAGATCCTAGGATTAGGAAAGATGGTTTAGATATTTTACTTGAATCATATTGTGAAAATATGAATATTGATATAGGAAATAAAAAAGAATAAATTAATAATTTATTATTTGAAATGTATAGTTTATATGAATCTGAAGTTATAAGAAATATTCCTACAACTTGTACAACATCTACTTCTGACCTTGAGCCTAGTAGTAGAAGAGAAAAACTTTTGTATTTAATAAGTAGATGGCAGAAATCTGCTACTTCTACAACAAGTTCATTTACTGAACTTAATTTTTATTTACAAGCAAAATTTTATAATTTAGGTGAAGGATCAAATAATTTTGATATTTTAGCCTAGTGAAGTGAACATTCGAAAAATTATTCACTTCTCACCGCCATGGCATGTGATCTACTAACCCCTTCGGTGTCTACAGTTTCATCGGAGTCTTGTTTTAATGTAGGTACTAGAGTGCTAGATGACAAAAGAAGCTGCATGAATGATGAAAGCATATATATGTGCATCTGTTTCAAGGATTGGCTAGATGCCAAAGATAGATTACAAAACAAAGGATGACATGATACTACACCAGATATTTCACCCAAAGCAGATGATGAAAGTCATGAATCATGATTCATGAATTTGACTACTTGTATAGAATTTGTTATTTTTTCAAATTATTGTAAGTTTTTTAATTTTATTTAATTTATTTGATTTTTTTTAATTTTTTAACAATGTAATTTTGTATTTTCAATTTGTAACTATATTGTATTTTTTATATTTTATTAATTTATCCATTTTCATATTTCATTGATCATTGTATTTGTAATTTGTACCATTCAAATTTAAATGAAATAAAATTCATATTTTTCTTTCAATTTGTTATTCCATCATTCTTATTTTAATTTGGTTAAGTATTTTTTTTTCATATTTATGGGTTAAATAACTTAGATTTCTCATTTCTTAATTTTTTAAGTAGTTCCCAATTCCCAAAGTTCAAAAGAAAGTTAAATATTTTAGTTAGGGTTGTTCATAAGAAGGCCCAACCCGACCAAACCGACCAACTCGGACCGACCCAACCCGAGTCGGTCGGGTTTTCATCAGCACGGGTCGGTTTCGGGTTGCACAAATTCCTAAATTGATGATTCGGGTCTGCTTCGGTTTTCGCACAAGAAAACCGAAACCGACTCAAACCAAACCGACTTAGTTCCTAGTTCAAACCTGAAGTTCCAAAGCCCATTAAGCCACCTAGTTTTTGAATGGTTGCAAGAAACTTTGGATTAGTGAATAGTGATTAATGAACAACTTTTGTGATTAATTTTTCATTTAAATTTTATCATAGGAGATGGCTGAAATGATGTTCAATTTATGACTGTTTTTAAAATTAGCAAGATTTTATCACAAGGATGAACTTAGAACCGAAACCGACCCAACCCGACTAGGTCGGTTTTGCTTAACACTGGATCGGTTTCGGTTTCTATGTCAGGTAACCTGACCAGGTTGGGTCGGTTGGAAAAACTGCAATAAACCGACCCAACCCGACCCGTGAACAGCCCTAATTTTAGTTTTACAATTTTATTTAGAAAAAAAAATCAAAATTTTCAAAAAAATCAAAAAATAAAATAAAAAAATAAGTAGAATCCGATTCGGCCCAGGTCCAAGGCCCGCCCTGTGGCCCGGCACAGCACACTTTACACCTCTATCCCTATCCCGCCAAATGGGATAGGGATTCCCATCCCTGTCCCTACTCGGCTACTCCCCGCCAGTTTGGCTCATTTTCCTTCGCTTCTTTATATCCGGCAGGAAGCCAGCTAGGTGGTACCTGGATCCGGTTCCAGTATATTAAGTCAGGCCAAGTATGGGTGTTCAAAACAGATCCAGTTTTCAAATTCCGGGATGGACCGGATGATCCATTTTAATATCGAACCATTTGAATCAACATGGGCCTCATGGATGATGAAGCAATATGATAGATCCTAATTCAATTGAGTCAAACTGTCAAAGTCTCAAAGACTAGCCCAGATTAACCAAATCATGAAACAAAAACAAAAGAAAGAAAAACTGCGTACCAATTGTAGATGGCCGAAATATGTTTGAAATACAAATCTGAATGGAATATAAATTCGTATCCAGTTCATTGACATTACAAATTTTACGTTCAAATAAAACCGATGCAAAATTACACAACTTTTCTCTTACCCATAAAGCGGGGACAATGTGCTTCCTACTTTTTTATTTCTTTCATCCTTTTGGCTTCATAAAACAAAGGTGGTCTTCAAATCTGACCCAAAATTTACAAATCTAATTGGAGTTTAGATCGGATTTGAATGTTGCTGAATATGATCGGAATAGGACTCTAACAGCCCACCCCCGAATTTCCTTAGTGTACCCATTTCATTTAGCATTAAGACAGGCCAAGCCTACCAACCGAGGGTTGGCCCCTTGGTGTATTAATTCCAGCGTTAATGCAGAATTGAATCCCGCAACCAACATTTTTGGGAAAAAGGGGATTAAGGGAAAGTTATTAAATATAAAAAAAAAGGAATAAATGAACTACGATCCACCTCAGAAATCCGAAATTGCAGCTCCCCTCTTAGTATGTGTTTATAACTCAAACAGATGACAGTTTCTCTGGTTCGGGAGCAAGTGGTTTTGATTTTATAATTGTTAACAGCTGTTTGGCCTCTCCTTGATGATATTTTCAGCCTTTCAATAGTTCTTCTCCCGAGTTGAGATTGTTATGGGAGATGGTCCCAATTTATAGTTGGGACTTGGGATGCGCTGTGGGGCACCGATGCGAATTCTCTCTTACTTGCTTGCTTCAAGAGGTAAGACAGAGTTTTGCAGGCTCTTGATTGGTGGAACCGGAGCCGGCCAGTTTGGATAAGGCCTTCGTGGTCTGCTGATATCCAGGGGGTGCTCCTCATTGATCCCTCGTTGTCGTAGTTTGTTCAGTTTATGTGTCTTCTTTTTCGGTGTTCTTGCTCTGTTTTCTTCTATGTTCTTTCGTTGTTTCTTATTGGTTGCTTTCTCTCTCTTGATTTTCACCCACCAACTGAGCCACTCCTCAGTTGATAAATTAAAAATTACTTATATGAAGCTTGATCCTATGACAATTTTGTAAATCAAAATTAGACCACTTTACTACTCCATACATATATATATATAATAAATCTTAAGCATATACCGGCATATTTGATCCAATTTATATATTTAGCTTTCGTGATTTGGGGCTCAAAAGTGTTTTGGATTTAGATTACATCATCTGTTTTTTTTTTTTTTCGATAATTAAACGAGAAGAGAAAATAGGCCTGGAGAAGATACAAAGCAGCACGGCAAAGAATTAACCAACACATTTTCTATCTCATCAATTTTGCTTATTGAACTCATTTTATTTTACAATAGGATTCTTTGATATATATCAAACTCTTACACCACAGCAGACACAGGAGACGAAGATGTATATAAGTAGCTAGAGTAGTAGGAGATGGATGGCAGAAGATATCTAGAGGCTTCAATAATTGAAAATCAGGCAGAGACAACCCCTTCATGCATATATAAGGCCCTCACACAGTCACACCACACCAAACAGAAGATAGCTAGATTAAATAAAGATCCTAGGACGTTGTACGTACACAAATAGGAATAGCTAGTATGTATTAGTAGGAGAAGAAGAAGGAGAGTAGTAGCAGAACGGAAGGTAGTATAGGAATAAGAAGACCAACAGAAGGAAGGGGTTTGTTATAAGACGCAGAAGACGGAGGAGGAGCTATGCGTGTAACATTATCCCTGCAAAAACCCTGTGGACATACGGGGGTTGTTTCGTTGACGAATTTCTGGAGGAACTGATTCCCCTCTTGCAGTAGTTGCCCAATTCCACAATAGCTTGGTGTAGTTTCGCACTTCTGATCACCAGGGCTACGAACAATGAACTGAGCCTTGCCAAGCTGTCTTACTTTGCAGTATTCGGTATTGCAACTATTATCAAACTTCATATCGAGTTCTGCACGCAAAGATTCTACATATTCCATATATAACTCGGTAACTTCTCTTACTTTGTTGGGGTCGATCACATCCTTGTATTTCTTATAATGGTTTCTCACAAAATTCGCCAGTTTGCTATTAGAATATGTCCGTAACAAGTTCACAATACCCCCAAGAGAACCCAAAGCCCGCCCTCGCTGCTTGCTGCTGCATGCAAACAGACACAAACACACATTATTTCTGTGAGAATCAGTACTACTACATGCAATGTTTGTGATGAGGGGATCAGTACTATGTATACGTACTTATCTATCGCTTCTGTTGATGAGAGGGAAGCCAAAGAGATGAAAACTATGGAAAATGCAACAAGGAAGTGACCAACTTGAACCATCTTCAATTTCTCGTACAAGGAAATCTCTGAGAAATATGAGCAAATTAAAGAAGACACCAATGGGTGGGGATTCTTATAAACCACGTGAGAGCTGGCAAGGCTAGCCAGCCTACTCTCTATATATAGAGAATATATGACTATCTGCTCTTTACCACAATTAAGGAGTAGTGAAGTACTGATTTATTACAAGGAAAATTCAGTTGACTTTGACCTTGGATTATTTGCTACCACACAATTGTAAGAACTTGACTCGGCAAATGCTCATTAACTAGTTTTTGTTCTATTACTTACTATTTGTATTGTCATTTTCTAACAAGTACTTGGCGGGCATCACATGGATGAGAAAACTTTGGCCGCACTCATACATGAAGTAGACATGGACGACTAGTGTAGTGTGATGTAGTGAGAGCCCCATGTAGCACGGTGTATGTGAGTCCCACTGTCTTAATGTAGAATTGGAGTTACTACTGATGATCACCATCCTATGACCCCTTGGGTACATCGTTTACATGGACCCGCCGCCTATGGTTTTTTCTTTTTTGACTCTCATTTCAAAAATTAATGGACCTTTGTTCTTTAGGCTCAGTTTGGAAGGAGTGCAGAGTGCAAAACCTTATATTTTGTATGTATTTACACTGTGTACATCTTTGCATTTGTACTTATCATTTCAAACTGAGTCTAAGCTCAATTTAAAAAAATACAAATATGTACAGTATATATGCATACAAGATAATAGAAAATGCAAGGTTTTGCACTCTATATATTTGCATTGGTGTTCTTTCCAAACCGAGCCCTACGCTGTGTTTGATTGCAAAGCTAATTTATTTTACTGATGCAAAGTCATAGTAGTGCAAATGATTCCAATGCAAATTATGATTTATTTTTATTTCAAAATTTATCTTATTTTGTTTAAATATAGTACAAATGAAATAAAATAAGACTTTAAATAGGGTTGGGCGGACTACGTACTCTCGTTGGACAATTGTTATAATTTGAAAAGGCTTGGGTTCTTTATAAATTCTTTAAATCGAATACTTGACTTGCACCCCTGCCCTATTGGTTATAATATTGGGTCTTATTAGGTCAGATGACCTGATAAATCTAATTGATAATAGGGTTGGTTCTGGGTCGGGAATGAGTTTACATGTTTTCTTATTTGTTCGAGACCGGATAAACCCTCACTAAGTTCAGACCGAATCTTATATATATATATAAGATAATAAATATATATATTGGATCCTCTCTCACGTGAGAGCAACCCATTTCCTATTAATAAATATATATAAGATAATTAGATATATATAATTATCTAATCATATAATTATATAATAGTTATTATAAATATTGTTAATAATTAGGTATCAAATCGTTCGAACTGATTGAACGTTTTTTACTGTTTTTTATTTTTTGTCAAAATGGGCCGACCGTTCGACCCAGTAACCGGACCCCTGGCCGGTTTGGTATCCGATCGATTTTAAAATTTATATAAATATTGTTAGATAATTAGATATATATAATTATCTAATTATATAAATATATAATAGTTATTATAAATATTGTTAATAATTAGATATTGAATTGTTCAAACGATTTTGACCATTTTTTATTTATTTTATTTTATTTTTTGACCATTATAAATATTGTTAGTAATTAGATATAAATAGTAGGGTAGTTTAAGAAATTTGCCCTTAGATGAATTGGACCCACTTGGAGTAGGCCTCTCTATCTCTCTGTAAGGTTGTCTCCTCACAAACTCAAGACCCTACCACCATGTATTGGGAACAAAGCCCGTCAGATTTTCAAATAAGGGAAATGTAGGGTTTCTCGAAAAGGAAAGAAAGGGAATGGATGGGTGTGGTGGTGTACTACACGTGTTCAAAACATAATGTCTAGATGAGGGTGGAGAATGGGAAGAGAGAGAGGAATAGAAGGAACACATGCCACATTTATAGAAGACATGTGTCGACCACACAAGCACCCCTCAAGTGCCTCTTTTGCTTTAGCCTTTAGGTATATACTTAGATTTTGTACCTCGTTTAATTTTTTATCCATTTATTCATAATTATGATTTGCACTCTTTACCAAATGTTTTTTTTATTTATTGCAGTCCAAAACCAGAGATGGGAATCAGATGAGCTGAGGTGATTGTATGAGCCAAACTATTTTCAAAGACACCTGCACATAGAGACTATCGGGGTATGTTCCCATGGAGAATCCTCCGATGCTTAAATTAGTATTAGATATCGCAAGGGGTCATCTTACCTAGCAAAGGAGGTTTGATTGATGATAAAAGCAAGAAAGCAAGGTGGAGGTAAGAAGAGGGTATAATGTGCATACCTTTTTCCAATGATGCCTTACCTCGAGGAGGTGTCGTCCTTGTTAAAGAGTTGAATTCCTCTTAGAAGATGAATGTCGGCCCCAAACCAAGCTTCACAGTGGTGTAAAACGACCACTGCTCGTACAGTGGGAGGTCGACCCAATCGAATAAAATAGTACTATTGGTTGTTAGGCCCTTGTACAAGAAGAGGACATTGGCCTTCCTTTTCTTTTCCTACTCTTCAATTCTATCATGGTCGGCAGGATGACCAAATCCATGAAAGAGGGAAATATATATGTATAACAGCTCGGACAAAGTGAACAAGTATGCAAATGACATGAAGCACTCAAGGACATGACAAGGCTAAGGAAGGAACGCAATGGATATGGGACAGGACATCACAAACATAACTATGGCATGGCTATATCTATAGTCCATAAAACTAAGGCTTAGTTTGGAAAGGAGTACAAATATAAATATCTATGGTGCAAATCTGTGTATTTTGTATTATTGTGTATGTATATGCACTATACATATTTGTATTTGTACCCTTTTCAAATTAAGCTATGGCTGTATTTATTTGCAATACAAAATGCTAAATTGGGGTATTTATGTACCTTGGTTCTCGTTTGTGAGCATTTGATTGCCATACAAAAATGTAATGGTTAAGGTGTCAAAAATGTTTTTTTTTTACATCTCTATACTGTGAGAGAACACATTATTGTACCCATTTTTTAGATACAAACTTGTTCTTTTCTGATAATTTGTATGCTTGACAAAAAACTTAAGGCATTTAACATGGTTTTCAAAACCGGATCGGACCAGACGGTTGGACCGGAAAAAACAATAACCGGTTAGGCCCCCAGGTCCGGTTATACTAAAAACCATAATCTCTAAAAGACGTTGAAAAAGTTAGAAAACTGTTGACCCGGGCGATCAGACTACTAAACCGTTCGACCTGGGTAGTGGTTCATGGGTTCTCTTTTTTATTTTCACTATTTTAAATAAAATAAAAAAACAAAAAATAAAATTACTTTAATATCCCCATCCCAAATCAATTAATCGAATGTAGGGTTAGAACCCCATTTTCACTCTAACCCTTCGTTCTTCCCTCCTCTTAGCCCTCACACTCAATCGACCACCTGCGGTGGCTAGCACCTCTGGCGTTCGACGACAACACACATCGACCGACCATGATTAATGACGAATTTGCAACAGCTGCCAGCGTTTTTTGCAATTTGCAACACTTTCAGGCTTTGTGGCAGGCGAATTCGCAGCGATGACCAGCACCTCCAGCGTTTGACAGCGACACACACTGATCGACCGTGATTAACGGCAACCGGCGATGACGAGTTTGCAGCGGCAGGCAGTTCTAAAAATTTGGAGATTAATTGTGAGTGTTTTTGACACCTAGGAGCAGTTCTAAAGAAATTCTCAAAAATTGAAGAAAAAATAGAGTTTTGAAGTTTTTGCTTGGTTGAAGCTTAGGGAGCAGCATTTGGCATGGTGCTTAGGTACAAATTAATGTAATTTTTTTGATCAATTAGGTAAAATTAATGTATATTGAAGTCTTTTATAGATCAATCTTGGTTGCATAGCAATCTAACATTCTAGAGTGGATGCTCCTATTTCTCCCCTTTTATTTTGGTGCCAGGGGAATCTATCCCTGTGAAACTTGATTTTAGGTCAAGGATTTTTGCATTTTAGGATTTAACATTCTAGAGCTTTTTTTTTCTGTATTTTTTACAATTTTCTATTTTATTTTTCTGTATTTTTTAGATTTTTTTTGTATTTTATTTTTATATATATTTTTTTTTGTATTTTGTACTGTATTATTTTTAATTTAGATAGTTTTATTTTCTGTATTTTTTGTATTTTTTCTGTTTTTTATTTAATTTTATGCTATTTTTATTATTTATAAATATTTTTTATTTTTTATTTATTTATGACATCACGAGTCGAACCATTCAACCCAGACAGTTGAACTGCTTAACCGGAAACCGATCCCTTGACTAGTTCGTTTTTAAAAACCATGGCATTTAATGATGGGGCACACGTTTTGCATTGATTTCAAACAAAAAAGAAGAATACAAAAAATGGGTTATACTTTGCATTCTTGAACTAAAAAGGAAGTATTTATACAAAATAGATATTTGCGTTTGCATCATAATTCACAACCAAACACAGCGTAAGGAACAAACACGGGTGACGGAAACTACACTACAGGCTATAAGTTGCATGGTTGAAAGGGTGAAGTAGACGGTGCAAGACTTCAAGGTGCAGGGAAGAGACCAAGGACACAACAAAGAAGATGAAAGAAATGGCGATGGGAATGTTTTGCGGTAAATAAAAACCAATTTTTTAAACAGAAAGAAAAGCAGATGACGTCTCTTCAAGTCAAGTCCTAGTTTCATTGATTCATCCAACAAAAGTAGACAAGATTGATCACATTCATCCAACGCTGCTTGTGTTTTTTGTTGGATGAATTTGATAAACAAAACCTCATGTCATTGGATAATCTGACAAATATATAAACCTTATTTCCACCAGAAAGTAAACTTTATTCAACCTTATCATTTATAATTTCGTCGAGTCATCTAAAGACCACTTTCACCTATTAAACGAAATCTTTACCTCTATATGTTGGAACTCCAAAACAAATTTCAACCAAAATTAATTATATTTAGGGGGCATTTGTTTTTGGGATTTTGAGAGGAGGGACAAAAATGTTACTTTTGATAATGAAATTTTTATGACTATAATGGTTATTTTTTTATTTACCTAAAAAATAAAAGAATATGGGTAAATATACTTATCCAAATAAATGTTTCTTAAGTAATTTATCAAAAAGTGAGCATGGCCTTAGGTTATTAAAAATAGGGTAAATTATAAAGACCCCCTTATAATATGGGGTCAGTGATAAAGACCCCTCTAAATTTCACTTTGTAACAAATACCTTTTTTTGTTAAGAGTTCCATCAATTAACTTCAAAAAAATATTCTCAATGGACTGTTTACAATTTTTAAAATCTCTAAGCTATCTTTTTTTTTATTTATTTGAATGATTTATGATTCGATTAATTTTCTAAATATAATATTGAAGTCTTTTTGGTTGCTCCAATAGATCCTTGCAGATTTTTGGTTGGATTCAATATTTAAATGAAATGATAGACTATGCTTGTGAAAATTATTCTTGTTATTTTAGCTGGTTTCCTTTAGAGAAAATTGAGGTGTTTTTTGTCAATTAAGGCTTAAGAGAAAAGGGTGATGAAAAGAAAATAGGGATTCAAGTGGGTATTTTGGTAAATAAACATATTCTTTCATCTAACTTAAGGTCAAGAATATTTGTGGCGAAGTAAAAGTTAAAGAGGTCTTTGTAGCAGATGGAAAATTCAAGTTGAAGAGAGGTCTTATTGTCCAAACCCAACAAAGCCCAACTCCCTGTAACCTCTGATTCTTTTCAAACCCTCAAGATCAGGAATGTGGCCTCTGTAATGGGAACACAAAATCAATCAGACATTTATTTGTAGAGTGTCCCTTTAGGGTTAATTGGTACACAGTTGTGTTGATTTGCTCGAAATGAAAAATACTTTAGGGGTAATTAAATTCCTGTCCAAGTTATTTTAGCAAAAGTTAACAATACGTTTCAAGCCTCCCAGTCTTCTAATTCTGAAGCCCTATCTAATAACTTGGAGACAAGGAATCACCATATCCAACAGAAATTTGAACTCGAGGCCAAATCAAATACGAACATCATTTTGTTTGCAAATGGAGGTTGTGTTTCTACCAACAAGGGATCTTTTGGAGCTATTTGTCTTTGTAACAACTTGTTTTGCCTTGGTGTTATAGGGGGTACATCAAAGAGCCTGAGTACAATTGAAGAAGTGGAGCTGAATGCCATTCTGCAAGGAGTCGTATTGGCAGAAAGGCCTTCAAAAGGCCATTTGTTGATCTGCTCGGACTCTCTATTGGCACTCAAAGTGCTAGAAAAGAAGGCTTTTCTCCCTTGGTCTTGTTATTGCCTTCTTTTGAAGGTTTAGGGTTTTTTAAAGGATTTTCGCTCCACTACTCTTTGCTTTGTAAATAGAACTTTCAATGTCTCATCCTATATGGTGGCTCAAAGGGCCAAGACTTGTGCTCAAGACTTTTTACATATGGACCATTACCCTTAGGGGGTGCAAGATGTAAAGAACTTTATTAATCTTTCATTATTATAATCTATTAAAAAGTTGAAAGCTTTTTTTTTATTGATGAAGTACACTGCACTCCACACAAAAATATGAAATTACAGCCCCCATAGGCTATTAGTAGCCCCTCTATAAATCGCATCCTACCCGTAAATTTGGTATTGATCCATAATCGAGATTCATCCCACCTGTAGGTGGGGCTAAGAATTCTGTAGTGGGCTGAAAAGTCATTCTCCCTTTTTTTTAATAGAAACCCACATGATTACTTACTACTAAAGTAATGACAACATTTGATTGATTATAAGCTTTTTCAGTATATCATGTCTCTTTGTCATCATAGTTGGAGTTTACATCTGCCCCATAATGCCCCACAATACATCCCCACCATGTATTGGGAACATTTTCCGATGACAGTACTAGTCCCGATGATGTCATCATCGGGAGATGTTCTCAATACACGGCGGAGATGAGCTGTGGGGCTGTTCCTGGTGGGGTGGAGACGTGATCTCTCATAGTTGAACCCCGTGAAAAAGATATAATTGAAAGATTGTGGGGTTAAAACAGCTTGGTATCGGGTTAAATCATATAGGTGCAGATCGGGTTTGAAAAAGACGTGTTATTGATCGGTTGAATTCAAGTGGAGCATTGGAGAGTCGGATTAGGGCATAGGCAAATCCATGCCGAACCTAACGGGTTGGCTTGTTAGACATCCTTAGCGAATTGGGATGTGTTTGTGACGTCGGTGTGAGGCGCCCTCTGTGAGGAGCAGATCTGATATCTTCCTTAGCTGGGTCAAATTCATCATTTAAATTCTTGAACGCGATGTACAAAGCACCGTATTCAAGGACGGGTGAAAACCGTCCTTGTGCATAGATCTTCAAACCGAAGCTCTCATTTTGGCGGGAAAGAAAGGAGCTGTTTCCCGCCAAAACTATCCCTCAACCCCTTTTGGGGGGGGAAACGAGTCATCTCCCAATCGCTCTCTCTCTTGCCTTCTTGCTTTCTCAGACAACTCTAATGGCTTCAGATTCTTCTCCCATCCACAACGGCGGTAAGAACACTCACTGATTCGCCTAGTTTTGTTTCGTCGATCTGATCATCGCTTACTTCGTTTTGTTTGATGGAATTCGCAGGGCCTTCCTCTCCCGATGATTCGTACTCAAGTCCTATCGACAACACATTTTCGTCTCCCGGAGATGCCAACAGCAGGAGGAGGCGAAGACGCTCGTCAACCGCATCAGGATACGCAACCCCACCTCCTCAGCACTCCCGATTCGCCGCCACAGATGCGACTCCCACCCCATCTAGTACACAGAGCAGAAGAGGGAGGAGAGCTGCTAGGGCCACCCCGGTTGCTACACCCACATCAACGGACGAGGCCCCGCCGTCTTCGGAGGGCGGGGAGGGTGACGAACACGACGAGGCTCCGCCCATGTTCGTCTGGGGAACGAACATAAGCGTACAGGATGTCAATGCTGCAATCCTTCGGTTCCTGAGGCATTTCCGTGATCACCCATCTCAGGCAGAAGGAAAGTACATGCGGGCAATTCACCACATTCTTGAAGTAGAGGGGGAGTCGCTTGATGTTGATGCCCACGATGTTTTTGATTATGATTCCGATCTCTACAACAAGATGGTTCGCTACCCACTCGAGGTTCTCGCCATCTTTGACATTGTTCTGATGGACATGGCCAGCCGCATCAAGCCACTATTCGAGAAGCACATCCAGGCTCGGATTTTCAATCTCAAAACATCCACATCCATGAGGAACCTCAACCCATCTGGTCAGTTTTATTTATTTCTCTGAATCATTTCTTCAGACTGATGGTCGACATATACAAGAAATTTATTATCTATTTGGTTATTGCTTTCTTCAGACATTGAAAAGATGGTATCTGTGAAAGGGATGATCATCCGTTGCAGCTCTATAATACCTGAAATCAGAGAAGCTATTTTCCGTTGCCTCATATGTGGTTACTACTCTGATCCCATTGTCGTAGACAGGGGTAATTCGTTTGACTTTTCTATTTACTCATTAGTCTATATGTATGATTTTATCCCATTATCAAATTTATGTTTATTAATAATGGGTTTCACTAGGCCGAATTAACGAACCTACGAGGTGCGAGAGGCAGGAATGCCTTGCCAAGAACTCCATGACACTTGTTCATAATCGATGCAGGTGAGTGTATATTATGAAATTCATTATGTGTATTTGATTCGAATTGGGCCGATAACCTTCAACAGTTTTTCTGAAACTGCGTTTGAGTGGGTTCTTCTGTGAAACACTAGGTTTGCTGATAAGCAGATTGTGAGGCTCCAGGAGACTCCTGATGAAATTCCGGAGGGAGGAACCCCGCACACGGTAAGCTTGTTGATGCATGATAAACTCGTAGATGCTGGAAAGCCGGGTGACAGAGTTGAGGTAAGATAGAAAGGCCATTTCGTCATTGGACTCGTGTTTCCCAACCGTCTTCTGTTCCTCTATTAAGTATTTATCATCTGGCAGGCTACTGGGATTTACAGGGCGATGAGCGTTCGAGTTGGACCAACACAGAGAACTGTGAAATCTTTGTTCAAGGCATGTGTATTAATTGTGTATTCGATATGGATTGTAACAGATTGTAATGTGATTTAAACTAAATGTGTGTCCCCTGCTGGCAGACCTACATTGATTGTCTTCATCTAAAGAAGACCGACAAATCGAGAATGCAGGCTGAGGATCCTATGGAACTCGAGAATGGCTCTGGTGACAAGGATGAAGACGCTCCTCTTGATTATCAAGACAAGGTGGGTTGACTGTACAGATAGATAGAAATGTGGCAAGGGTTCTAGTGTTGGTGGTAATGCTTGCAACTATGTGTGATTGATATTCTTGTCTGGAGTTCCAGGTTGAACAATTGAAAGAACTGGCAAAGCAGCCTGATATTTATGAAAGACTAACTAGGTCCTTGGCACCAAACATTTGGGAACTGGATGATGTAAAGAAAGGTCTCCTTTGTCAGGTTGTTTTAATATTACTTTCATGATTCAGTTATTTATAGGATATTTGATTCCACATCATTGAAAGGTGTTACTGACATGATAACTGTTATTGGCTTCAAATTAGCTATTTGGTGGCAATGCGTTGAAGCTGCTATCTGGTGCCAGCTTTCGAGGTGACATCAACATCTTGCTTGTTGGTGATCCTGGAACCAGTAAATCCCAACTGCTCCAGTATATACACAAGCTCTCACCTCGTGGAATCTACACCAGTGGAAGAGGAAGTTCTGCAGTGGGTTTGACTGCTTATGTCACCAAGGATCCAGAAACTGGTGAAACTGTATGGTTTCTCAAGTTGTATTACAATTCTCTTTTTGTTTAACTCTTTTGATAGAGGAGACTGACTTGCAGTGGGCATTTTTTGTGTTTATTTGGTAACCTTCAGGTTTTGGAGAGTGGGGCCTTGGTACTGAGTGATAGAGGCATTTGCTGCATTGATGAATTTGATAAAATGTCTGATAATGCAAGGAGCATGTTACATGAGGTTCCTTGTCTTTTCTTTGTCTGCTTTCTGAAAATCTCAGTCTTTTGTTTTACCTGAGACCATCTTTTGATCGTTTACTTATTTTATCATTTCCTAGGTGATGGAGCAACAAACTGTTTCAATAGCAAAGGCAGGGATTATTGCTTCCCTTAATGCCAGGACTTCGGTATTGGCTTGTGCAAATCCAAGTGGTTCACGCTATAATCCCCGCTTGTCTGTGATTGACAATATACACCTTCCTCCTACATTGTTGTCAAGGTGAGAAGATGCACTATGCACTTACCAAAATACAGCCACTTCTTTCACTATCACCACCATCTGATCAAGTTTACCCATTTCAGGTTTGATCTGATTTACTTGATCCTTGACAAGGCCGATGAACAGACTGACAGGCGCCTTGCCAAGCATATTGTTGCATTGCATTTTGAGAATCCTGAGGTTTGATGAATATTGCTTTTGCATACTGACCAAGTGCCGACTTTGAATGTTATTCTTTGGAGATCTATTGATTTTTTTTAAGTGTTGTGTATTTTTCTCTACTTGCAGAGCTTAGAGCAGGATGTCCTAGATATTTCAACTTTAACTGCATATGTGAGCTATGCCAGAAGACATATTCGTCCAGAGTTATCAGATGAAGCTGCAGAAGAATTGACACGTGGGTATGTTGAGATGAGGAGAAGAGGAAACTTCCCAGGAAGCAGCAAAAAGGTAATCAAGATTCATAGATGTCCCTTGTTTCCATTGGACCTTTCATATTTGTTTTTGTTGATCGGAGGAAATTAATGATGATAGTTTACATTTTCTGATGCCTTGATTTGATTTAATCAACAGGTCATAACTGCAACAGCTAGGCAAATTGAGAGTTTGATTCGACTTAGTGAAGCCTTGGCTAGGATTCGTTTTTCACAATGGGTAGGTGAATCTTGCTTTCTGTATGAATACAGTAAAAGATTCTTTATAGTACAATTTGAGATCGCCATTTCCACATGCAGGTTGAAAAACGTGATGTGGAAGAGGCTTTTAGGCTCCTGGAAGTTGCTCTCCAACAGTCAGCAACAGATCACTCCACTGGTAAATGTCCATCTTTGAATGTTTACCTTTAGGCTGTGTTTGGTTTGAAAGAAAAAGCAGGGAAAGGAAGGGAAACCTTAACAAACCTTGTATAGGTTTCCCTACCTTAGCGTTTTATTTATTTTCTGCTGCTTGGCATGCACAATACTGATATTTATATTCTCCTTTTCCTCTCAAACCAGGGACCATTGACATGGATCTCATCACTACTGGGGTTTCTGCAAGTGAAAGGATGAGACGAGAGAATCTGTTGTTAGCTACTCGTAACATAATCATGGAAAAGATGCAACTTGGAGGATCCTCTACTCGTTTATTGGAGGTTTGCAATTTTTAATGATTTGGAACCAATGAAAACTTAGGCTCTGTTTGGGAAGGGTACAAATACAAGTATGTACAGTGCAAAACCTTGTATATTGTATTTCTAAACCTTGTATTTTCACTCTACATACTTGTATTTCTACTTCTCCCAAACTGAACCTTAAGATTTAACATGTAGATTAGCATATCATAGATACACTACAATGGTTAAATCTACATGTAGTGCATCTATGATATGTTAATCTGCATGTTTAATCGTAAGTACATGCATATAGCCATACACCTACAATGGTTGACATGCATGTCTAACTCCTATGCAGTTGCTTGAAGAGCTAAAAAAGCAAAGCTCAGGTGAAGTTCACATGAATGATGTAAGTCTCTCTCTCTCTCAATACACACTTGCTTCATTAGAGGAATAACAATGGTAAGTCTCATTTTCTTAATCCCATTTTATGTTGGTTCAGTTACGAAATGCACTTGCAACACTTGCTGGTGAGGGATTTGTCGTTGTTCACGGTGACAGTATAAAGAGGATATGATGAAAGAGCATTGGAGCCAGCAGGTTAACATTATTTCAGAAAATGCAGAAGCTTGCTAATTTCAGCTACACCTGATTTGTTATGGTTCCAGTGGAACTAGCATCAATCATTCTGCATGGTTATGGCTTTATCAAAGATGTTGTGTATATTTACCCAGCTAAAGCTTTAAAGAAATGAAGTCACTAAACTAATAATCATGGCGTATCCTATAAGAAGCTTTGTGGTTGACAGGGTCATTGTATTTGCAATGGGCAGACACTTCTTGGATAGCATGTGAACCAAGAAGATTTTCCCTGTTCACTGTACTTGTATCACCAGAAGATAGTTCCATTTCCATTCACGAGGTGTTGGTTCATGGCGATTTCTCCAAATGTGTGAAGAGGACTTAATTTAGTAGTAAGGATCTTGTTAAGTTATACGTGTTACCTAAGCAATGAAATGTTACCAATTATTGTTATTACTATTTTTTGCTTTATATGGCTCATCACAAAACGACATGATAAAATGATCAGGAATTTATTGAATGGTACGAATCTTGTCAAGTTACACTGGTTTTGAAAAACAAAATCGTGCATATTGGCAAAAAATCATGCACAGGCCAAAGGGGTCGATGCAGCAGAGGAAAGAAAATGCCAAGCTGCTGACTAGAAGACAATTTAATCTAAATACCACCCAATGTTTTATGACAATTTAATTTAAGTGCAGGCTTTACATTTATGATAGGCAGTTTTCTGACCTGACGTTCAAACTTCAAATGGAATGATTCTGTTTGTGTTCCTCGAATTCTAACAAATGCCAAAAGGATGATTTCAAACAAATGATATGGCCGGTGGCTTAAAAGTTAAAACCCTCCATGCACCAGCATCTCTCCCCACTACATTTAGTGCTTGCTCTATTGGATATAAATGATAGATAAAGAGCCTCCTAACTACTCCTTGTTCATCTTAAAACAATGTATTTTTCATTCTTTCATGGGTAAGGACTAAGGAAATAGGGGCTTCACATCATGACGAATTACATCTTCACATCATGATACATTTTTAGTTCTTGTTTTACTTGATGCGTCCCTCCCTCGTACCACAGGTCCACAGCCCAATTAACCCAGGTGAAGGCGGGAGTAGATCCCAAGTCTCCGCTACAAGCACCTTACCAGCTGAGCTTAGCTAAGAGCCACTTAGTGCCCTCATGATACATTTTAAGTATTAAGCCATTAAGGCCACGTGCAAGAAACCAGTTGTTTCCCGCTGTCATCTGCCCGGAATCTTGAAATCTTGACAATTGATCTTGATAGGCTGTTAGAAACCAGTTGATTCTTGAAATGTTGATCTCTATTATTATCAATAAAATTTAGGGGGTGTTCCTGTTTTTGGATTTTGGAAGGGGGAAAGTTGGTCAATGAGATTTAGGTTCCCATTGACCAAGAATCCTATGTTCGTTTTTCAGATTTATGTGGGGACTAGGGAAAATTTATTTTTTTGGGTATCACTTACTCTCCTAGGTGGGTAAATAACTTTCCCACCTAGGGGGAAAGTTGCTAACACTTGAATGGGACAAAAATGCCCATTTTAATAATGGGTTTTTATGACTAAAATGGTCACTACCTTATTTTCCTAGGAAATAAAAGAACATGGGTAAATGAACTTACCTGGGTAATTGTTTCCTAGGAAAAATTTACCCAAGTAAATGCATTTACCTAAGTAACTTACCGAAAAACGAATGGGGCTTTAATATGGTATCAGTCTAATCCACCGCTGCGTCTTAGTTATTATGCAGTTAGTTGGTGGCTCCGACATGTTCAAGAATGATTTACACGTGTGTTTATTTACTTGGGTCGGTTATTGAGATGCAATTTATAGCTAGCATTTCTGATTTTCTATACTTTGTAACTATAAATAAGGCATTCCAATGCATTAATAAATGTTTTTTCTTTCTTGCCCACTCTGGTTTTATATGGTATTAGAGCCCCTCAATGGTGACAATCGGAGCCAACAACAGTGGTTCTTCCATTACCAATGTCATGAGTGATCCTACCTCACCGTATTGTCTTCATCCGTCTGATAATCTGGGATCAATCTTGGTTTCTTGTCCTCTGAATGGAGACAACTATCCCACATGGAAGTAAGCTATGCAAGTTGCTTTATGTGCAAAGAATAAGCTTGGATTTGTCACAATCGAGAAACTAGAAAAGGGAGCAGTTGAAGAATTGGCTTGGCAGAAATGCAATTCAATGGTGATCTCGTGGATATTCAATTCTCTCACACGAGACCTCCATGAAAGCATAGCCTACATAGGATTTGCTCACGAGATCTAGTTTGAGCTTGGAGAGCGGTTCTCTCAAGGTAATACTCCTCGTATATTCCAATTTAAGAGAGAGTTGATCATTCTGTAATAGGATAATCTGTCTGTTTCATCATATTTTACAAAAATGAAAGCTATATGGGATGAATTGGCAATTTATAGCACTCCTCCCACTTCATGTGGATAAGCTGTTGAAGATTTTGCTACTGAGAGAGAAAAGGAATAGGCATATCACTTCTTGTTGGGATTGAGTGAGAATTTCAGCACCATCTGTTCTTCTATCTTAGGCATGGAACCATTGCCAAGTGTTATCCGTATCTATGCTCTTGTTTCATAGGAAGAAAGACATCAGTCACTTGTTGTTTGTACTCCGGTGGTTGAAGCTTTAGCTCTATACGTTGTTGGGAAAACACCTAATAAGAATCCTTAACGATCAAAACTTAAATGTGACCATTGCAAACGAAATGGCCATACGAAGGATAGGTGTTATGAATTATTGGGGTATCCTCCAAATTGGGAACACAGGGTTCATTCCAATAATTCAATAGAAAAGCCAGATAAAGCACCACCAAAGTCCTCTGTTCAGAATGTTACACAAGGAGCAAATCTTGCTACCTTATCAATAGTTGGCTTGAGTCTTGAACAATACCATCAATTGATTGAATTTCTTGATGTTGAGAAACATAGTGCGGCTGCCAATTTTGCAGGTAACTCTCACCACTGTAATTTCTCAAGTTCCACTAAGTGGATATTTGATAGTGGAGCCACAAATGATGTGCTCCCCTGTGACTCGTAAAAAAACTGATATCAATCCTCCTTCAGTCATATTACCTAATGGAAGCATGATGAATGCCCAGGGTTTGAGCTCTGTTACCCTCTCACCTTCTTTGAAACTCGAAGAAGTATACACATACCTAAATTTTGCTGTAATCTAATTTCTATTAGTAAGATCACTTATCAATTGAATTATGTGGTTCTATTCTTTCCCACCTTTTGTGTCTTGCAGGACTTGCACTCAAAGAGAGTGATTGGCGTGGGTGAGCTACACAATAGACTATTACGTTTCATCTTCTTCCCTTCTAGTAGCTCTTCATTCTGTTGGTCAAATTGATCTCAGAACTTGGCATCTTCGTTTAGGCCATGCATCTTCTAACAAGTTGGCCCTCATACCAAATTTGTCAGTCACTACAACTTGAATAATGAATGTTGTGATGCTTGTAATAGAGCAAAATTTACTCGTTTGCCTTTTCCTTTGTCCATGAATAAAAAATGTAAACAATTTCCTCTCATACATTGTGATCTTTGGGATCTTTATTGTGTTGTTTCTTTTACTAGTGCCATTTTTTTTTTTTTAACAATAGTTGATGACTATACCCATGCTACCTGGACATTTCTTATGAAGCACAAGTCGGATACCTACCGATACCTTACCATGTTTTATGCTCTTGTCCACACCCAATTTCACACCATGGTGGAGGTTATACGTAGTGACAATGGATATGAATTTACATTTGGTCCAATGCAAACATTATTTTTCAGACAATGGGTTGTATATCAGACCTCTTGCGTAGCCACACTACAATAGAATGGTGTGGTTGAACATAAGCATCGCCACCTACTTGAAGTGGTTCAAGCATTAAGATTTCAGGCTAATCTCCCTATTCAGTTTTGGGGAGAATGTGTTCTTACAGCCACTTACATCATCAATCATCTTCCTACTCCGATGCTCAATGAGAAATCTTCTTATGAAAAGTTGTTTGAAAGGTCTCCTACTTATAATCATTTTGGAATTTTTGGTTTTTTATGTTATGCTTGAGTTCTTGGTAAGCCCATTGACAAATTCAGACCACACGCCAATCGTTGCATATTTTTGAGGTATCCACGGGGCCAAAAAGACTACTGTGTATATGATCTGGCCTCTTAGAAACTCTTTGTCTCGAGATGTAGTTTTTTATGAGAATTAGTTCCCTTTTAGGGACAATGAAATCATTGGATCTGCTTCTGATCATGCCAGTTCGGTCATTCCCTTGCTAGTCCAGGAAAACAATTCAGCCACACCGGTATTACAACCCACTAAACCATTGGTTAATCTGCAATCTACTCATCCCATGAACAGTCCTGACATTCCAATACAACCCACTATAACTGAATCAAACCAACTACAACCCATTGAACCCAGGCACATAACCACAATCACCTCTTCATCTTTCTGTTCATATCCTAAACGGTGCACTAGGCCACCGACCCGACATCAGGAATTTGTTTGTCCAACCATTCAGACTAGTGAACACCCAAGCACAAGACACACGACCGCTTACTTTATATCACCCATGACAGTTGTCAGCCTTGTAAAACATTTCTGAACCAAAGACCTATAGTGGAACTGTCTCTCAACCCAAATGACATTAAGCCATGAATGATGAATTGGCAACCCTGACATGGATGGGTCCATTTATAGGTATAAGGCCCATTTGGTTGCTAAAGGGTATACTCAAATAGTGGGCATTGACTACAATAAAACATATGCCCCGGTTGCTAAACTCGCCACGGTACGATGTCTTTTGGTATAAACCATGACACACGGTTAAGATCTTCATCAAATGGATGTCAATAACATGTTTCTACATGGAGAACTCCAAGAAAAACTATACATGACTCCATTACCTAGATTCTTGCCTAAAGGTGATACTAGAGTTTGCAAACTACAAAAATCCATATACAGGCTCAAACAAGCTTCGTTTGAGAAGCTTGTTCATGTTCTCAAACATCATGGGTTCATTCAATCCAAGGTTGATTCCACATTATTCACCTCAGTCTATCCTCATAGCTTTCTAGCAGTATTAGTGTATGTTGATGACCTAATCATTGCTAGAGACAATTCATTCCGAATTGATGGTTTTAAGCTCTATCTCAATCAATGTTTCAACATTAAAGACCTTGGCACTCTTAAATAGTTTTTGGGCATTGAAGTGACTCGTTCCTCTAACGACATATTTTTATGTCAACGTAAGTATATAATATTCTCTCTAAGGCCGATATGCTTGGTTGACGTCCTAGTTCATTTCCAATGCTTCAACAATGTCATTTAACAGAAGATGACAACCCTCTTTTGAAGAATCCAGATCAATATAGGCTCCTGGTTGGTTGTTTGATATACTTAACAGT